GAATTATGTGGGAAATTGGGCAGTGTCAGGGAGAAAAATCTCTCATATAAATGAGCATATCAATTCCTTAATTATGACTTGAGTGATTATGTACCAGAAATATTTTATATTTTAACAGGGGTTGTGAAGCAGAAATATCTTGGGGAAAATATTTTGTTTAGTGTCTGGCACAGTGTAATAAAATAGATTTTTGCTTTTTACTGTAATATATCCTTGTACTGGATAACATACTATGTTTTAGTTAYAACTTTTATATTCATGACCTTTAGTTGTCCTGAGACTTTTGAGCTCTGATCCAGCACCTGGAAGAAAGAAGAATTCTTTCTTTCACCTTGGTACTTTAAAAATTCATCTTCAGCTGGACTAGGAGAACTAATGTCAAAGCCTACCCTCCCTCCCACTGCAGAGATGTTCATGCCATACCAGCCAAGCTCGTCCTTCAGACAGTGCCAGATTTCTGAGTTCACTCCAAGATTTAAAAAAAAAATTAAAGCTTATAATGCTGCCTTGGAAAAGACAACATCACTAGRAGTTTCTCACAGTTTTCTGCTCTGAGACAGTGCAGCAGCCATGCCTGTTCATACTTGTACAGTCCCCACAGTGCAGATTTTGGATCATCCAGACTCCTCGAAATTCTTTCTTGTCACCAAATCCCAAAACTGCTCTGGCCTGCAGAACAAAGGGGTGAAAAGTAGAGGAAAGAAGAAAACCGATGTAGAAAATGGTTCAAGAAGATCGYTTATCAGTGCATGGAATGAGGCAGAGTCCCTGTGTGGGAAAGCACAGAATTAACTCCTACAATAAACCCACTATGAAGTGGTGATCTGGGTGATAYGATACTCAAACTCCATCCAAGATTTTGGTCCTTTCTATTTGTCAAACAACTGAGCAGCTGAGCACAAAATGAGTAACATCTGAAGGAGTTGTGCTGGAATGATACACTGAGAGAGAAATTACTTTCTAAGGTGCTTTACAGCAAGCAGCATCATCAAAACTAACAAAAACCCAAACAAACAAACAACACTTGAGGTATCTTTTTTTCTCCTTGGAATCCTTCCCAAACTCCTGGGTACCACCTACCGTTTTTTTAAAGACTGGTAGGGCCAAGTAGGACTTGTCAAGGCCAAGTTGGATGGGGCTTTCAGCAACCTGGTCATGGAAGGTTGCCATGCCCACAGCAGGGGGGTGGAATGGGATGATCTTTGAGGTCCCTCCAACCCAAACCACTCTGTGATTCTATGATTTATGACTGGACCTTCGACTTTCTGTTCTCCATCCACAGGTAGGAATTTTGGGCCATCATTATAGGAATAGAGCCACATGACTTTATTTACTGACATTATTAGTCTTTCTGCTCACCATAATTGAGATTTTCTGCACTTGTCTTCTTTGGAAAGTGCACTGATGCAGTTGAGACATCTCCTACTTCCCTTTCTCCCACAACACCCAGGTGGCTTTAATTCCTTTAGTAGAAGGTAAGAGGGAAAGTGAGGAAACACACATCAGGCATTGACTACGGGTCAGAAATTGAGATATGCATGAAACCAGTAGTTATGGGGAAAAAAAAAACCCAGTTCTGTGTGTATTTTCCAGTCTAGTATTTCTGAACATCTCTTTGCAGATGGCAGGAGGAACCTTGGAATTCTCTAATACAGTCTTGGTATCTAAAACCTCTCTGCAAACAAACTGAGTGCAGGAAACAGGGCAGGRCAGGTTTACAGATTGCTCTTAAATTGGAAACTTCACTTTTGCGGGTTTTTTTAGTTGCTCAAATGTAGGAAGTGGTGCTCAATTCTCCCCTGTGAGGTGAAAGATTTTCCTACAGACCCTCSATTTTAGCAACATAATTTAACTGTGGCTTTAGTGAGCTAGCATAGTGGAGACCATAAGGTCATTTTCCCAGGGGAACATGAGGCTGTAAACTTATCCCCATTGCTAAACACATTATTATAGGGCCTTAGTATTATGTTCTAATTTACCTTTATAAACCTGGCTCAAACAGTCCTGATTAATGGCTCTCAACAAATGATAAGAATTGTTAAATTCCCCAGGGCTTTTAATGGGATTAAAAACTTCCAGTGAAAAAATGAACAGCAGAGGAGAGTTTGTTAGCTCCTACCTAGGCAAAAAAATAATGTGCTGCTGGAATACAGAGAACAGGACTTCAGTGACAGATCTGTTTCAAATAACACATTTGTGACAGACAATGCTTGAATTGACCAACTGCTTCCAGGCAGCAATTTCCAGATCTTTYCCCATCAAAGCTCCAGGTGAGTAGACCAGTTCCAGATTAGAGGGGTCATATCAGTCATTTGGCTTTCAGACACAAATAAAGCCTCGTGATCTTCCATGCTAAGCCACTCACCTTAGTCAAGCTGCACCCATGACATTACCTTTTCTTCTGGCTGGCACTTCTCACTCCTCTTGATTTGGAGGCAGAAGAAAAGAGATCAGTTAGTGAGCTGCAAGGCTAATTTGCAAGATAAAAATTCAARCAACTGTCAAGTGTTATCCTTCCTATTATGATTCTGAGGCCATTGTTAATATTAGTTTTCTCCTTTTTCACTTGGAACTAGAAAACCAGGAGAAAATCATGATTGTTTCCAAATCCCTTTATGAAAACTSTGTGATATCAAAAGCCCAAAATATTTTATATATGCGATACACAAACCCAAGGTGTGTCAGGTGTGTGCAGCAGAGAGCAGTCGATGGCACCATGGCTCAGGTAATTCTTTCTTCTTGAACTTCAGTAATTTAATCTGCTGTACAAGAGCCACGAGTGCTCTGGCACTGGGCTTTTTGAAGCAAAGCCGAGATCCATGCACTGGCACAGTAAACTCACTGCAGGCTCCGTTTTTACTGGGAAAGCATACATGTCATTTCAGGTTAATTTTCGGTTTTCTGTGCCCTGGCTGCTTAAGCTCCTCATTAGCATGTGAATCCTTGTTTACACTGTGCTATTCATCAAGTGCAGGCAAGGATTATTGCTTCCCCACTTAACTGGCCATGATGGATTAGATATTAAAAACCAGACTGAATGTTGTTAAGCAGTACTTTTATGCTCAACACTCCTTAATATGTAAAGCACTAAGCACATAAATAAAACCATAAGCTGTCATTTGTAGATGATAAAAAGCCCATTGCTCCTTCTCCCTCCACAAGCAGCTGCCGAGCTCCCAGTGCAGGGCTGTGACCAACACACTTCTGTTTGTTGTGACACCTCACTGTTCCCTTGAGCGCCCRTTGACTTTTCTACCAGTTGTTACAAGCAACAGGAAATTAGAATCARAGTATCCTGAGCTGGAAGGGACCCACAAGGATCACAAGCTGAATTCCTGGCCTTGCTCAGGACGCCCCAAGGACCACACAAATTACATCTTCGTTAATGAATGGGCCTGTGCTGTTGAGCTGTACCCAAGAAGCACAGATGTCCCGGGGAGCTATAAAATTCATCACTGCATCAGTACCAGAATGAGCACGACTTCCCAGGACAACCAGTAAGGTATTGCTGCGAACAATTTTTTGTCTTTTTTCCCCAGTAACGAACAGCTTTATAGTTACAAATTAAAATCMATTTTCTAAATAGACAAGAGAAAGATGAACTTTTTCTAAAAAGAGAATTTCTTCAGCTAGGACTTAACATCAAACATCCCAGTAAAACAATTTTTTGCTAGTATCATAAATATTGTAAACATACTTGATAATCCTTGGTCTTCAATTCTACCTCCTCACCTTGCATCCATCTCTTCCCTCCTGTTTAAATGCTGACCAGTAATGGCCAGGGGAAATTAGAAAGCTTTAACAGATCGGTAATAGATCATACTCCAGACCTGTGAGTTTGATACTAAAATTAAATATAGTTGTCTTTAAAACCACTGGACTTCTGCTTCATGCTTCCAGTTTGGTGTTAGTAACATGACTGAGAACACCATGTGTGAGGGGCAAGCCAAGGAAAGCAGGTTTTGTCTGGTTAAAGTGACCACAAATGTGCAAAGGGAATACCAAGCACATCTTCCAATATCCATCCCTGCTGACTTCCCCATAGGCTGTTCCTGGGCCCAAACTGGGGAAAAGAAAAAATTATGGTTTTGGTAATGGTGGCATGGAGTGACAGTTTTTCATTTGTTCATTCTTCAACCTACAGAAAAGTCCGCATCAGCAGAAAGGAGTGTGGGGTTTACTGCAGCAGAGCATGCAGGAGATGATACACTCTCCCCAGTAAAATTAAATTGGGTGATTAAAATCAATACTCTGTAATTCAGAACTGGATTAAAGAAGCAGTGCTTTACCCTTCCCATTTTTAAGAACCCCTCATGAGAATACACAAAATGTTGGACTTGCTTTGCAACCACCACCATCTCCCACAACCCAGTAAACACAAATAATTACTGGTTCTGCAGTGGCATTAGTGGGGAGGGGGRAGGATAATCCTGTCAGACTTGGTAATGGAACAGGGCTGGAAGGCTTTTTATCCCCCGTGTCAATACACTTCTGTGTGAGCACTGGGCAGCTTCCAGTGTCTGCAATCCAATGTGTTCCCATTAAAGAACTACCTTCTTCCACATGGATATGGAGGAATGAAGCCTGACTGGGAATAGCAATGAACACTGCCCTGGGTGAAGGGAGCAGTTCAGGCTTCTGAGATCGCTYCAGGTTCTGCAGAGACCAGCAGCATCACATCAGTCTTGGAAAGGTATTCCATGTTCCTGCATGATCTGGATCAGCCAAAGATGTCATCATGGAGGGTCAAACAGCATGCAGCAGGCTGGCTGCAAAGGAACCAAGGGCTCCTTGGCATGGCTGGAAAAACATTGCAGCAAGGCCTTTTTGCACAGTTATTAGACAACGAAGTGAAATCCCACTGAGCCCAAGATGTGTTTTGGAATCTGTTTGGCAGGAAACACTGAAAATGTTTCCTCAGAATGTATCTCCAATATTCACAATTAGCAACAGMAGCCTTCRAAATCCAAACCCAAGCACAAAATCAAWGGTGTAGCATGTAAGTCTTTAGAAACAAACTCTTTATTAAGAATAAAATCATACAACTTGCAAGAAATTCCCTAAGAGCATGATATATTACAGAGCTGTACTTGTACTAAGGAACCAAAAAGGCAAACAAACTGAGAGGAAGAAAGGAACTTAGGAAGGAAATGCACTTTTGTTGAAGTGGAAAGACTTCACTGACCTTCYATCACTACCACCCGCCCCTGCCCATGTCCCTGTAGCCTCCTCGGTAGCTGCCGCCTCCTCGATATCCTCCTCCTGCTCCTCCTCGGTAGCCGCCCCCACCTCCGTAGCCTCCCCTGGGACTACCTGGGTATTCTCTTCCCGCCGAGTGCCAGCCGGAGTAGCCGTAGCCACCGTAGCCTCTGCCCCTGTGGCTGGAGCCACGTGCGTGACCTCCCCAGCCCCAGCTGCCACCGCCGTTGTCATAGCGAGCCATCTTGGGCGGGCGGGGGCCATCCCCAAACCTGGCAAAGAGGAACAGYGTACACTTGTGGCAATCTTACAAATTCCATTTCTTAAGGTTACAGGAACTGCCAAGATACTCAGCTAAGCCACCTCAATTTTCTGTGAACAGAACGCAGTTTAACTACAGTTGCACTTTTGCAACTTTTTCACTTCAGAAAAGTTTTCTCTGCTTCAGAAGCAAGGCATGGAAACAAGGGGCAACAGAGCTGTGCAAGCCCAGTCAAATGTGTGTTTTCTTTCCAGAAAAAGGTTTGCCCAAAATAAATCTGGATTATCTTTTCTTTAAAAGTCATTGTGTTTTGGAAGAGGGAATGACAGCTTTTATTCCCAAGAGCTGTGTGTCCTTGCTGTGGAAACGGGCAGTGATATTTCTTTGAGCACAAGCATTTCACACACACTCAGAGCACAGCAGTGAAACCGAAGCCTGAAGGCCTCCATCCCCACCCCTGAGCTCTGRCTCTCACCTGGTGCTGGCAGCCGTGAGCACCATCCCTGCAGCCGCCGGCCGAGACAGCTGCCGGATCACGTTCAGCATCCGCTCGTGCGCGGGGTCCAGCTGCTGGACAATCGAGGGATCTTTGGTCACTTCCACCACGAGGGCCTCCATGGCGGCACGCAGAGCGGTGATACAGGCGGCCGCCACGTGCGGCATCTTCAGCTTGATCCTACAGCACARAGAGGGTGTCAGAGCTGCCATGACTTCCAGGAGAGCACCTGGGAAGGAAGGGCTTCGACAAGTGGCTTTTCATTCAGCCTGAAACCTACACTGCCATCTCTGAAGTTCTAATTTGTCACTGAAGGGGTGTGAAATTCAGGAGGCAAATTTGAAAGATCCCTAAAATTCCACATTGTTAAAACATGTGCTCTTCAAATTTAACAAGGGGCCATGAAGATGGTCTGAGGGCTGGAACCTCTCTGCTCTGTAGACAGGCTGGGAGAGCTGGGGGTGTTCAGCCTGGAGAAGAGAGGGCTCCAGGGAGACCTTACAGCCCCTTCCAGTGCCTAAAGAGGGCTTTCAAAAAGGAGATACAGGCAGATAGCAACAGGACAAGGGRAAATGGTTTTGAACWGGTAGARGATGGGGTTAGATGGGATATTGGGAAGAAATTCTTCCCTGTGAAGATGCTGAGGCCCAGGCACAGGGTGCCCAGAGCAGCCGTGCCTGCCCCATCCCTGGGAGTGTCCAAGGCCAGGACGGGGCTTGGAACAACCTGGTCTACTGGAAGGTGTCCAACTGAGATGAGCTTTAAAGTTCCTTCCAACCAAGCCATTCTGTGATTCTATCATACCATACTCAGATAAATTCAACATGTAACCTCTTGCATCAAAACAGCAAGATACAAAAAACAAAACCAAACTGAAAACATGACACTCCAGCCCTCAAAAATGTTAGTGAATTAAGCTTAAGGAATTCTTTACCTCCATTGAGTGACTGGGAGTAAAAGAAAAAAAATCAACCATCCAGGTGGTATTTGGTGACAACCGTGAAATTTATGCTGCCAGAGGCATTTCTCTCCTCAAGCTGTGTTTCTGTGCCTTGYAAACAAGGTTTTCTCAGCCTTTGTCTGAGAAGGAGGTCCAAAACATATAGAAGGTCCTTCACTTACAGAGCAAACAACCAGCAGTTTTTATGGAAACTGCCTTGTCCTGTTTTCAGTTTAAGCAGATCACGTGCATGAAATAGGGCTCCAATAAACCCATCCTTTCAACACAGGAAACAAAGGTGACGCCTTCCCAACACACCTGTGACTGCTTGCTCTGGGGCCCCTGTTCTATAGACATTTGTGTGTCAGCRGACACTTCCCCTCAGTCAGGGAGTMWCAMCTGGATAAGCGTTGAGGTCCCTTCCAACCCAAACCACTCCATGATTCCATGATTCTGAGCATCAAGGAGATCCATACCAGTCATCTACCAGAATGAGCTCCCCATCTGACAGGACTTTCTTGGAGGCAAAGAGGAGCAGCTGCAGCGGGCTCACCAAGGTCATGGTTTTGGCAGAGATGGCTCGTGTTCGAATCTGTAGATGAAAGAGGAAAAGGACTCTTTAAATGGAAAACAGAGCTCTGTACCTTCCTCTGGACACTGAAAGCGGAGAATTTTGTAAAAAAAAAACTCAACAACACACAACAAAGCTAAGTATAACATTAGAAAATTACAAGAGCACGTGCACATACAAAATTAAATGCCAGGCAGAGGYTGACAGGGGTTCAGCACTGGCTGGTGTAACACCTCAACAAAAACTACCTTCCATTCTAAAATATTCACTTTCCGTGTCTGCAGTTATAGAGCTGAGGTTTTACAAGAGCCACCTCATGCTTTGCCTCAGCCTAAAAATGACCMAGGCACATCTGAATCTTCTTCCCACTTTCGACTGCTGGGGCTGTGATGAAAAGCTTTAGTGGGGTCCTACTCATGCAAGTGTGGAAGTTGCCAGACATCCACGTGTYATGTTACACTGACCTTGAGCCTGAACTTGAAGTGAAAACTTGGACAACATCAAGCCAGAGATAACAGCCCTGCTACATGGCTCCTGCACCTCAGTTTAAAGAGGGACAGATGAGGTACCTAATGGGGAGGGAGAGAGCTGCACACAAATCCTGCATCTCAGCCTCATCCTGGTGGCTGTCCAAGCCACTCTTAAGCCCCAATCTTAAGTCACTCACAGTCACACTCACTGTGTGTATTTCGGTTTAATAAAGCAAAACTTTTTTAGCTCAAACATCTTTAGTTGSGTTTAGGGGGTCTCACTTGAGAGAGATGGTCAAGGTGAATCAAAGGTCTGATCCTCCTGGGATCCTGATACTAAGGGTGAAGGAGAAGCAAAGCCTCACCACAGCTCTAAACTATGGATTGGGAATCCAAACTGTCAAGACAAGATCCCTATACCCAAAGGATTTAAAACTCTATTTATTGCCAAACACAGAAGCATTGCCTTCCTTTGCTCCTCGAGCAGCAGTAGCTGAGTTCATGATGGCCATCACTGGAGCACAGGAGAGCTCACAAGGGTCGCAGGGGACATGCAAAGGACATACACCGGATTCACAGGATGGAGGAAAAGGTCATGGATGGGTGATGCTTGGGAAATGGGAATTATTGTCAGGACAYGACAGACTACTCCCAAGCCAGAACAGGAGCACCCCACTGCCATGTTCCATGTTCCTGTTCTCTTCCCGGATTCATAAGTAGTGGAAGTGATAAGGGTCAAAATTCTCTGATGCCTAATTAGTATGGAAGAACTCCTAAAACAAACCCTTGAAAGAGATAATGATTTAGATCTTTCTCTATGACCTAGCTGCACAAAACATGCACAAAACTCACAGGAACTTTCTTATGCACCGCTGTTTCTACTGAAAGTGGCTGACTGAAAGTTACCAGGAGGCTGAGTGACACCATGACCACCTAACATTCACTTTCTGAACAGAAAACCAAAAATGAACACCCCTGCCCCCCAAAGACAAGTTAAATATTGCAGTCAGGCTTTTTTCCTTAGGACTTCTTTACCAAAAAAAAGCCTCTTGAGCCCTTTGGCAGCACATGATCAAGAACAAATCCAAAGTCACTACCTTCTCTCCAAAAACAAAGAAGGGTGATGGATACTTGATRTCCTGGCTGCTGAAAGGGCAGTTGACAGATGATTTGTGGATGAGAGCATTGTGCCCCTCAGTAGTAAGAATTTTCCTCTTCTCCTTGTGGTAGCAGACGTTGGGGTACACCCCAAAAGCCAGCAGGGATATTACAACATCCAGGTTGTTATCAGGACCAGTGTTGTTAAATGGTTGAGTCATCAAACATTCTGTTGGCAGAGAACAGAAGAGCGGCTCAAATCCACAGGTCATGTAGGAGAGCACAACAGAGCTGTTTGGGATCCTGAATCAATGCCTTTTCTCATTGAATCTACTGCTAGATRTGACCTCCAATGATCTCTGCAATCAAAGCATTTAAGTTCTACATTCAATTTTTTATTTTTTAATGGAGAATGAAAAGCTGAAAAACACTACAAAACACTACTACAAAGAGGTATTTTTCCCTCCCAAACTCTTCAAAAACAAGGAGAGRGGTTTGCCCAGAATGTGCTGTACCACAGTGTGTTTACTGTCATTTGTTTTGGAGACAGATCTTTTGGGAGAGGTTAGAATGGATGTTTTTATTAGTTCATTTGTTACAAACCTCCCCAGAGTCTCTGGTGGCTTGTTTTCAGGTCATCTTGCCCAGAAAGAAAATTAAGGATAAATGCAGCAGTGATCCTAACAGAATGAGGGGGAAAAAAAAAGGAATTTAATGGAAAAGAAAAAAAAAAAGAAAAGGAGGGGAGATAAACATCTGCTAAATCCAGACAGCCATGTCATTTCACTGAGCTCCTCAGCAACATTAGGCAAATTCAGAACCTGGTCAAGTTTAATAATTTTGTTTTTTTCTCTAGAAATGGGAATTATTTGGCACAATGTTGCACATCCCTCCTGTGGCACAAAACYAGGAAGTCACAGACCAGAATACTGTTCAGATCACACAGACTCCTCACTAAGGCATATGGCAAGAAAGGAGTGGGGAAGCACAGCACATTTGGGGGATGTAACAAGTGAAGGAGAAAGAAAATCAGGGATGTAACACTCTAAGGACAACTGCTTAATAAATTTGTAATCCTACAGCTCTAACCGCAGCCTCCAAAATCTCCCTGTGTTACACCACAGACATCACAACTTTAGGAAAGAACACCAAAATTCCGCCTGATCGCAGCTGTAAAAGTGGAGTAGTATTATGGCAAATCCACTATAGCTGCCCTGTGCTTGGATGCTCAATACAGATTATCCTGGTTATTTATTTATMATCTTAGAATGAAAAATGCAATCATTGAATTACTGAATCTAATCAGAATCACCTTTAGGAAAGCCAGAACTAATAAGTATGTCTTTCAGCTGGACTTTTGCTTCCCAGGTCATTCTAAGAGTGGCCATGCTGAGTCTTTTGTGTTCACAAAATCTTTTCTCTGCTTCTTCACCACCCATTCTGAAAAACAAACAGAGGGAATTAGAAGTTTGACCAAAGAAAGGAGAAGCCCATCCTGTGTTACCTATAACTTCCCATCACCTGCTGTGCCAGACAGCATACCTTGCATCATCCCAGGCTTGGAAGACAGAGAGCAAAGCTACATGATCCGAATACCTGGTCCCAGCAAAATTCCTGTGGACATAACCCAGGCGTTTGCCTTCATTGATGAAAGGTTCAGGGAAACAGGTGGCTGCAGAGATGGTACAAACAGCATCTCCCACACTGAAAGGAACCACAGAAGGGATCAGGATCATTCAGAGTTAGTGCTGCCAGCACCTGCTGCAGGTAKCAGGGGAAACTTCTCTGCTAGGGAACTAAGAATTTGGCCTTTATCTACTAGTAGAGTTCTTCACTGAAACACTTCCCTGGAAGTGCATGTTAAATTAGCTCTAAGTGCCTGCCCCATCATCCATACATCACCTTCTTCTGGTGAAAAGAAGCCATCACAGGGAMAAAGAACAGTCTTCTAAAGCAAAATGTGGGGATTAATTTTTCTCCTTATCTCAGTGTTAAATTCCATATCTTCCCACCTCTAGCTCACTGTTATACCTAGGTATGTCAAGTTCCACTCTTAATTCAGAAGTATTTAGCCTCCACTGTTGCCTGTCTGTTAACTGAATYTCATGACTGCTTTATTCCCTGCACTGGAAGCTATTTCTTCTCTGCTCTCATGAAGATTCAGTCACCTCTCCCCAGCTGCTGCATTTATTGCTCATCTAGATATACTGGTTCTTCTCCCTTACAGTGCATGTCAAAAGGCTCAGGAACCCAAAGAAACAAGAACTTGACCACTGAAACCACTCAACTTACTAAAAAATACAGCCCATGATCATCATCTTGCCCAGACGAGGTTCAATGGGAAGTTTGGCCAGGATTCTTCCAAGAGGTGTCAACTCATCGTTGGAATCCAGGGCATCAAGCTCTGAAACAAGACCCCTTCTTATCAAAGAGAGTTAGCTAAGCCCAGAGTTTTTAGATTAGAGATTCAGAGTTTTAATCGTTGTGTCTATATAGAGCTCCATTAATATTTAAGTTTAATGTTGGTTACGGTGTTGCCAACCTGATTTTCAAAACTGGTTTGAGGTCCAACAAGTTTAGGTTTACAGAGGTTTTACTACCTCCTCTGCAATTATTCTAATGACAATGTAATTCACATACATAATTTTCCATTCCTTTTTAGTTTGCTTCTGTACAAGCCCCTATTACACTATTAAACCATCTTTGATCTAATGAATCTAACCTAATTTCTGCCTCAGGAAAATCAAAGCAGCCCTGTCACAACCAGCTGTGAAGCCTTTATTGCAGTTGTCAAATCACAGAACCCTCTTTGCCAAAAGAGAACATCACATGCTCTCTCTTCCTTGAGGCTTTACCTACCTTTCTCCATTACCTATCACTTGGATTCAACCTCAAAGAAAAGAAGCTTTATAGCCTCAGCAATTAAATGGGAAAGGAAACATATAAAGGACTCCTTAGCCACCCTCAAATCAATTTTTCCTGGTATCTATTGAACCCAAAACCTAAAAATACCTCAAAGAATAATATGTTTCACCTTTCTAAGAATATACTAGCAGAGTACCTGCACTGAAAAATCACAGGTCATCCAGGAAAGAGAGGCATCTGCAGAATCAGCTATTTGGTGTTAGAGCTAAAAGCATTGGCCTTTTCCCCTGGCTCTGCAATTCCCAGCTGCGCAGTATGAATAGCATGAATAATTTTCAGAACAGGAAGTCATTAAACCTGCCTACATATCCCCAGCTATGTTTTTTCATTCTGCTCTCTCTCTTGTATATAAGCAACATAGGCCCAACACACAATTTYTCCATAAAAGCAACAATCAAATAGGCATTTCACTTGTTAAAAATTGAAAGAAGTGCTTATTTACTGACATTTACAAAGTGTGCTGAGGTTTGAGGTCACTTTTACGCCTTAAATCTAAGGCATAAATTTAGAGTTCTTTCCTGCTCTATTTTATTCATATTCTAGTTAGTTCCTTGAAATAAGTGGAGAGACAACTTAACCCACACCAYAGTTTCTTCTGTTTTTCATGCAGATTCATAAACTGGAGATTTAATTACTTGACAAAACTTGAGATATTGGGTCAGCATTTGTAAAAAGTGGTAATTATTTAATACACTACCAAACTCTGTTTTTTGGTACTTTTATGGCAGCTTTGTGAATGCCTCGAGCACTGGACTCAGTCTGTGACAAACACAGCAGTCCCACAGCTGGAAAACAGGAAGCTGGAAGCTAACACAAGTTACTGGTAAAACAACAAAACAAGCTCCAGTTTGAAGGCTCAAGTTTCTTAAAGGAATGGCACTCCRGTGGGAATTGAAGTATTTCTTCAGCTGCACAAGCCACTGCCACCCACACGGTGCCTCCAGGTTGTTGTGTCAACCACAACGTGCCGCTCCATCAATGCACCCAGAGGTGGCACAGCCGTTTGTCAGAGATCACAGACAAGGAAAACCACTTGGAGCCAGCTCCACTAGCACAGGATACCACACAGCCCCCTGGGCACTCAAGAATACCTCTCAGTGTGCGTTCCGCTTCAATCACCGCGTCCAGGGGGGGTGGCTCGATGGCTTTGGCCAAGAATTGCCCAATCCCTCCCAGTCGCAGCAGTTTGATGCTCAAAGCAATTTCATGAAGTGGAGTTCGAAACATTTCAGGCGTCATGTGAGTCTGAAGTCTGGAATGAGAAGAGAACAAAGCCCCGTTTCTCTGAACACAGGCTTTGATCACCATGAGGGGTCCTCCTGCCCTCCAAAGCAAACTCTGCCTCTGAGCCAACCCATCGGCTCTCTCTGTGCTCCTGGAACTTGGGCTCTTCTACCACAAAAGTCAGCACTTCTCCATTTTTCTTCGGGGTAATTTTAAACTGGGAATACAGAGGGAGTAGCCCTGACATCTCCACTGCCCGCTGTGGCTTCTGGCATGAGAACCTGCAGGGCTGGAGCACAATTCCCAGCATGGCTGTGTCGGGCCCCACATTTGTCCTTTACAATCCTCTCCCACTCTAAAGAAGCTCTTGCACTCCTGAGAGCTTTCAGCCTGGCCTACATACAAGCACTTCTCTACCTGTCCTTACATTGACTCCAAACAACCCAGTCTTCCTGCACATTGCTGCTTTGATCACTAAGAGTAAGTATTTATGCTGGATATTTTCCAAAGGTGGCGGGGTTTTTTTGGTAGGAAAAAGACTTGATGGAAACACATAGAACTCTTAAATCTTTAGCACAGTATCCTTATTGATCTTGCAGCTTGCAGGTTAAAATATGAGCTTCAAGAATTGACTGCATTGAGCAACAGGAAGCTAGAAAAGGTTTCAAAACACCTTGAACAGATACCTTGATTCAGCTGGCACCAGATTTAGATGGTATCTCTCAAAATACTATATGCACAAGTCCACACTCTTTCCCAAGCATCATGGAACTTGTTTATTTTGGGTTTATATTCTCTGAAGGAAAGTAACCTTAAAATCATAAAGTCCCATTATTACTTCAGTAGCCTAAAATCAGTTCACGGTCAAAAATCGTTTATGAAAATCACTGTACTGAACAGCAGATCTAAATAAATTTGAGGAATTCAAGCAGAGTTTTTGATCAACTGATGATTTCAAGAAGTTACAAAAAGCTGATCATCAAAACACAGCTATGATGTAAGAGCCAGCAAAARGGGCACTGAGACTTCCAGGAGATAGATCAGAGTGTAACAGCTGTGTTGCCTTCTCCAACCAGCAAAGAGATTTCTATGGTTCTAGAATCAGAAAAACAGTCTGGCAGAGACAAGAGGTCAAAAGTTTCAGCAGCAGGGAAGGTGCTGGAGTAGCAGGAAGGGGCTTCCTGGACACAGAATGGGAGAGGAAAGTAACCTCTGCCTTCCCTGCTTTTTACCACTTTCATGACAACATGGCCTGTTCCATGAGATGCCAGGTGCCCCCAATGTTTGAAGGTAAACAAGAGCCTTGTCCTCATGACAAAGCTCTTTTCGGCCTTGCCTCGATTCCCAAGCAGTACTGTTTTTCTCCTGAGAGGTTCAGCAGATTGCAGTAGATTGCAGTTCCTCATACTGAAATCATGAACTATTTATTCACTTCATGTTATGGGTAAAAACACAGCATATGTGCTTGTTTTTTTTAAGCCAAAGAACTGAGATATTTCACTGTGGACTGACATCATCTATCTACTCTCTGAGCTTTCTGCAGTTTGACCAGAAGCAGCACCCAATAGTTCCAGGAGAACTCCCTGAGGGTATTTCATTTCTGGAGAGCACAGACTCACCTCTCAAAGCGAGCTCTGCTGCACAAACGGAAACAGAACCCAGCTCGCACGCGCCCGGCTCTGCCTTTCCGCTGCTCCAAATTGGTTTTTGATGCCCAGACCGTGGCATAGTTTGTCATGTTGTTGTGAGCAGTGAACAGCTTCACCTTTTGCCTGTTACAGGAAAAAAAAACAACTTAAGATCAAAAGCTCTACAACTTCAGCCCTACCAAATAAGTTCCTATCTTGTTGCCTGCAGCCACACTGCTTTTAAGTCAACCACCCCTGAGCTTTGGCTAGTTGGGCATCAGTCTGGACACTAAAGCATCACACTCTTTCTAAAGCAGTGCCCCAAACTATTGCACAGAATTTGGGCAGTTCTCACAACTGCCCAAAAAGCTTAAAATTCTCATGAATTCATGAGCTCTCTCTCTYTCTCTTCTCTTCTCTGAAAACATGCWCAGCAAGGCAGGAACTGTAACAGACTACAAAAATGTTCCTCTTTTCCATAAGCCAGACACTGAGGGTTTATAAAACTCCTTTGGCAGATGACGTCTATCAAATTGGTGTGGAGACCCAGTGACACCTCACATGAATAGTGCCAGCATGACCAACCCAGCCCCCTGAGATGCCAGCGTGGTGTGTCACCATGCTGGCCAGTTAAAGACAATGCTAATTTGTCCTGAGGGAGCTAGAGTCCTCAAGCTCAGCTCAGCGAGCATGGGAACACAAGGCACTTCTGTGTGCTCCCAAAACCTCCTTTGCATTCGCAAGGGTAGGATTTATGAAACAAAAAGCTGCTTCATGAACTCACTTGCAGGAGTCGATAACAAAGACCACATCATTGATGGTGATGCTGGTCTCSGCAATACTGGTAGATAAAATAACCTATAAAAAACAGGAAATGCAAAGTGACATAACTGGGTCTGAAAAAGCCAAGAATGCACAGCAACGTAAACTACAGAATTTTTTTAATAAGTCAGCAATACATTCCCCCAAAAGCCCAACAGAAATGCACACAGAGAAGGCTCTGTACTTTGGTCACTCCAGGAGGCACAGGATCAAACACTCGACGCTGCTCCTCCAGAGGAACCTGGGAATGCAGAGGTAGAATCCTGTACTGATGGCCTCCTACAACAGGAATACAAGAAGGTTGGTAACTATGTGAATCTCATTTCTTCTTTCGACAACATGAAAATTTCTGGCCATTCATTCTCAAAACAAATTAGCTCCCTAAGCCACTCATCCAACTCCCATCTTCAYATAGCCAGTAGTGTCCTTGGGAAAAGATGAAATATAATAAAACAGCTGCTTGTACCAAAGCGTGGGTTCATTTCTAGATGCTTCTGCATGGTATAGATTAAGTTCCAGCCAGGCAAGAAAACAAGGACAGCTCCTGGGACTTTCAGAGTCCTGATATAAATCAGCAGGGCCTCAATCAGTTCAAAAGAAGTTTCTCTTTCGTTCAGCTGAGCCATGGAGTACTTTGTTTCTGGGCCATATTCATCGCTGCAAATAAGGTTGCAGTTGGCCTACAAAAAAAACCCCACAAAGGTAATTAATATAAATAAATTTACTCAAATTATGTCTGACCACGGAAATAAGAAAATGAGATATGTAGGTAGTTTTTTCTTTCAAGAAAAATGGCCAGTTTTTAAAACAAAAAACTTTTGAAAACAAAAGTTTCAAACCTACAAATTAGAAGTTGTGTATAATTCACAGTTTCTTGACAATGTATGTAAGCATTGACAATATCAACTGCAAGAGAAGAAGGGAGAAAATCTAAATTTTCACCCTAAAAAGCTACCACCAAGCTACCACCAAGCTCATATTTCTCTATTTTTTCTTCCAATGTCACCAATCTTCACTTTCAAAAGCATTTCCATTTTACTTTTAAAGAGAAGTAGGTTGACAAAACATGAGGACCTTAGCTTCAATGAAAAAGAAATTCTTCAGTTTACAAGGGCAAGGAGAAAATTCAGTTCCATTACTAAAGTTAACAGCAATCTCAGATATTAAAAATAGGAAAGCTGCTACAAATGCTTCACTTCAACAATGCCAAATGAATTACACTCAAGCAAGAGTACTAAAAATAGTACTTGTTTAAATTTTCACATTAAAATTCAAACATACATCATCATCTTCACCACTTTCTTCATCCTTCTCTTTCTTCTTCTTTTCCTTTGGTGGAGGGACAAACTGAGTCATTTGAATACAGTCTTCCAGAAAATAATCTGCAAGGACAAACACATGATCAGGACTGCCTGCCAGAAGCCTGTGCAAGGGAATATAATTCTTTACACCATTTCTCAAGAGTCTCTTGATATAAATCAGGATGGTCCAGAGTATGAAGGCAAGACTGATAAAAACTAAAGTTCTTGCAAGTGCAACCAGTGATTTACCTTGGACAGGAAAGGTTCTCCCGTAGACCTCGATGATGGGACAGTTGAAGAAGTATTCACAGAACATACTGGTATCAATGGTGGCAGACATGAGGACAACCCTGATTTCAGGATATGCCTGAATAACATCCCTCAGTACCACCAAAAGGAAGTCAGTCTGCACAGAAAGAGAAAAATAGCATAATTAACTTCACATCCACAAAAAGCAGTATCTTTCCAAGAAATCAGAGGGAATGMCACATTTGCTGAGCAAGAGAAGCAACAAGTAGCACAAGAATGTTCTGAACCCAGAAATAGTTGTCAGTGCTTTATTTTGACACTACTGCAATGCCTGGGATAAGAGATTTTTAGGATTTCCAGTGTTAAAGAACAGTTTTCCTTTTCTCCAAAAAATAGTTTGCTTCCTTCCTAACAATACACTACAACCCCAGGTCTTTTTAAACTTAGCTTACATATAAAGTAGCCATAGTTCATAAAATAAATAGGAATTATTCAGTGCAGGTGTGTGTGAAGTTTGTAGTTCTGTTTAAATATGACATTTATTTAGTTCTGCCATGCAGTTAGACAGGCCCTCAGTTCAACAGACAAATTCCAATCTCACTCGAAATTTCCAAACTTGTATTTTACATTATTAAYGTACATTCAGTAGATGAAGAGATGCATCAGAAAAATGTGTGTTGCAATTTTATCCAAATGAGTCCCCAAATTCTGACCAAACAAGCTTAAACATGTCAGAACTTCATGATTTCTCTCACTCGTGGAATGACAAAGCTGAAAACCATACAGAATAATCAAGGGGACATAAAATGTTTCCCGTTTCAAATTATATTCAATACCTCTCATAATTCTATTATCAACTTGTATTTTACTTCATGTAAACCCTGAATATCAATGTATCACTAACAAGACTGCGGGTTCTGTTATTACCACTAGTAATACAAYAGTGTCAGTAGAAACAGCACTGCAAAATAACAGTGACATTCAGCGTGCTCCCCCACTCGGACAAGACGTGTTTGCACTGTGGTGTTCCACCTTCAAGAGAAGACCAGGACACAGGGGATCCTGACAGGAAAATTGTTAGAGGGCAGCAAGGAGGCACAAGTCCTTGCTCTGCTAATCAGTTAAGGAGTAATTAAGAGTTTCTAAAAATCTTACCAAAGAAGGAAAACTCACACATCTGACACTGAGTACGACACAGTTTCCTCTCACTACACACAGAGAAGTTAGAACAGAAGCATAGAGAGATTAAGACTGTCATCACCAGCTAACTCACATTAATGTCTCTCTCATGGATCTCATCAACAATAACATGACTAATGCCACGGATCCCAGTCTCCACCTTTCTCAGAAGAACACCTAAACCAGACACAGCATATAAATGTTCATGTAACAGTTCAACCTTCCCCCTCCCAGCCCCTGCTTTAAAAATCAGAAAGTGTGCACGCTGCCCAGTCCCTTTTCCACCCGCATCTCTGGTATGCTTTCCTTTGTACAAGTCACAGTGAGGGCATGAAGCATTACTACAGGAGAGACTCTTCCCTCTTTCCCACCCAATGCTGCTTCCCCTTCTATCTTTTAAGGACAATCAGTACACAGCGATTTTATCTCTTTATGGGATTATTTCTGTGTGATATTAGACCTGTATTATCAGACTTCCAAACAAAAATATTAATTTTCCTTTGCACAAAGGCATATCAGCAAACTTCTATCCAAAAAACTCTTTTCAATCTTCTAAGGAGACTTCATAAAAATTTTAATCTGACCATATTCTTGCTTTTGCTGCTAACTCAAGAGTTCAGACCCATGACAAGCTCCAAACATAAGGAACCAATACACACCTACAGTGCAGAACATGATGCTGGCATGCGGCCGAGGGAGCACGGATTCGAACCGCACGCTGTACCCACAGCTCTGCCCAGGYTCTTCTCCCCTCTCATAGGACACACGCTCCGCTACAGAAACTGCGCTGATCCGCCGGGGCTGAGGGGTGGAAAAGTTTTCCCTAACTTAATGAGGTGGTTTTAGAAGTTTATCACAACACCACTAAAAGCAAGAAAAGAAATTATAAATGCTACAGGTGTCCTGTCCTAAGATTCCTGTACAAAGTWATCTTTAAACACTAATATTGTAACAGCACAAGGGTTTTTCTTGCATATGAAATTACAAAAGAGGGATATAAGGATAGAAGGCMACTACCAGCTGGCATTTCCCAAATCCTTTGCCCTCCATCTGCTGAGAGTTTTCACCAGAGCAATGTTCAAGCCAGATTATCCACACTGTAGGTCCATGAAATAACACTTCAAATGAAAATACACGRTGCTGAAGTTTCTCCTACTTATATTGCTGAGGAGGTATCTTTATTAACCAATCCTGCAATCATAATAAGGTCCCTCCCACCAAGCCTTCAATCCTTCTAGGCCAGGTTCGATGGGGCCTGAAGCAACCTGGTTTAGTGGGGGTGACATTGCTGCCCATGGCAGGGTGTTAGAGTGAGATCGTCTTTAAGGTCCCTTCCAACCCAAACCATTCCATAGTGCTGTGATTTTACTCTAAGCAACAGGTGATTTCTCATCCCCCCCACAGAACTGCAGTTCGGCCACATTCCTCACCTGTGTCACCACTATGTTGCACTCAGCAGCTCGGTTGGTTCTGATGTATTCGTCCAGGATGTACTGGGGCACTTGGGTGGTTTTGCCACAACCGGTGGCACCACGGATGACAACAACAGAATTGTGACGGACTGTGTCCAGAATTTCACTTTCAAAATTCTTCAGTGGTAGGGCCGCTCTCTCTTCGTGGATCTGGGAAAAAAAAAAAATCCTGGACATTTCAAAAATCTCCAGCAATCAGCCTGTTCTGCTCCACATCTATACTTTACCTCCCTTTTCTACCCTTTTCCCTTAMATAAAGGAAAAGCTGACCAAGAACAGGTCATAGTTTGTATTTTTTCCTGGCACAGCACAACTCATCCCCACATCCACCCCAGTGGAACACCCAGCACTTCCAAAAACATGTGTGTACATGTGCTGAAACCCAGCTTTGCATGCTTTGTGCTATGTTCAGCCCCTTCTGGAAAACCAAGAGTCTTGTACAAGGACAACAGGTGTCAGTGAGCRCACTCACCCKCTGTAATTCCCGATCCTGCTCCAGACGGTACACGAAATCACTTTTCAGATGCATGCTTATTTGCTCCGGAGTGAGCTGGAAGCACAAGACATTGTTTGGAGGCTTTTTGACCCCTCTTCTTTTTCAYATCGTAATTTCAGTATTGGATCAGTCACACCAACATCRTGATACCAAGYATCAATAAAAGATCATTTCCTAAATAACTCCGTGAAATCAATTATGCCTATCAGCTGTTTTATTTCATTCATTCATTCCAGTATATTAATCATTCATCCCCAAAGAAGTCTCTCTGAAAGACCCAAAACACTGGAAAAGATTGTTTAAATTTAAAACACTTTGACTGCTTGAGAAGCACACTATTCAGCAGGAAGCCAACGAGATGACGGTTCAAACCAAAAGATGGTTTTTAATACAAGGAATGATCTTGTGTAAGCACAGTGTATGTGCATGTAAACACAAACCCACCCTYAGAACAGCAACTGAAAAGAGAAAAATCTGCAAGCAACTCCTGCATTTAAAACTGCGAAAGCKTTCTGAAGAAATGCAAATTTGTTACCAAAGGGCTAGTTGCTTTTACTGCAAATAAGTCACTTGCACCAACCAGAACTTTATTGGATAAATCCTGAAGAGATTTGAAGCCAGTTCAATTTGCAATATTCATATTGGTTATAYGTTTTATGCAGCAACAGCTGTATTTACATCAGTTCCACATATTTTTTTAAAAAGCGATATACAATCAATGTTAAATTAATGTAATTTATGGAAAAAAACTCCAGCWGAAAAATTATTATTATTTTGGCCATAAGCAATCTGGCTGTTGTAGGAAAAGAAAGTTCTTGCCCTGAGAGTCTTTTCTGACCAGTTTATACCAGTCAGACCAAATTAGCCTCTGAACYTGGGAAAACAGTAATTCTTTCCCTTCTCCTTCACTCTATCATGCCACATTATTGCTTTTCATCTGTTCTGTGCTGAATGGGACTAGAAATTACAAAAAGTAAGRAAGTTGGTTGCTTGTGTAGGGGCACTGGCTTGGAGCAGTTCCTCCTCCCAGAAAAAAAAGAGTCTGAGCATGGAAGAATGGGAAATAGATGCAAGAGAATTATAAAGAACATGCCCACGAGCTTACCTTGTAATTTCAATTATAAACTTTGTATGGGCTACACAATARTGGGCAAAAGGTGAAACAAAGCTGAGAATTGGGACATCAAGACACTGCTGCTCAAGACCTGATAAAACATGAAGTAAACACAAAGAACTCCCTGTCTCCAGGTCAAGAAGGGAAGAAATTTTATCAGTGGACTGTCTTCTTCTTTGAAAGAGCCCATACTTTCAAACCTGGCAGGGTAGAAGCATTTAAAAGCTCCAGAAGCATGGGGAAATCAAGCAACAGAGCAATTTTTTAAGCTGTCTTACATTTGCCAGAGGACCCTCATCAATATTGCARCCAGTCCAAGGGTTCCAGTTGGAATGAGGTGGTGACCAGGGAACAACTCCCATATGACTTTGTCTCTGCGATGGTTCAAAATGAGCCAACTTTCCAACACTGATCAGAACTGGATTACTGGGATCTTGAGGCTATAAATCCAAAAGAAGAGTGACCAAAGGCAGATAAATTATTAAATGAGTAGGTGTGACGTTTCATACTGGAATATCTGAACCACACACTCACCGCAGGCACGATCTCCAGGGACAGTTCCCGAACAGTCTTCCGCAGATGATTTTCTAAGTCAGAAGACAGTGACACCTCATAGGCTTCCAACTAGGAAATATTTAAAAACTACACGTCAATATACACAAACACACAAGCGCTGAAGCCAGAACTGTGGGCTCCTAGAGCTGAACCATGAAACACCTCCTTGTGAAACAAGTATCATGAGTTCAAAATTCACATTCTTGAAATGTTTTGCTGACTTTTCATTGAATAAGAATTTGTAAGCTATTTTAAAATATCTGAGTTTAATTTCAGAAGAACACATCCCCAAACTTGCAATCAAATACTTAAATAACATATATTCTTTGGTATGTGCATGTATATGTATATGTATATGTATATGTATATGTATATGTATATGTATATGTATATGTATATGTATCTGAATTGCCAGAAAATGCTCATGTGACAGAGAATTAATCCCAACAGCCAATCATAAACAGAAATATTCAAACTTGTAGAAAAATTATACTGAAAATAGCATTTGTTACAAATCCTACTTTGTTTAATAGCATGTAAAATTAGTTACTGCTCCAGTCATATACACATGGAGTTATACTACTGATCCAAATCACTGGCCAGAATAGAAACAGTTGCTGAAGAACAAAAATTATTAATAACCTGTAAGACGTTAAATAGGGAGAGCAAACTCTTAACTCACTCTTTTTCTAAGAGAGCTTCTGTGTTATGAAATGAGCTGCCCCTCCTGCCAAACTCACCGATTCTCCTTTCTTCTTGGTCTGCCCAGAATAAGGCTCAATGACACCCAGGTGGTAGAGCTGTCTGACCAGGGAAAGGGCACAGGACTGTGCCGCCAGCTTTTTGTTTGATCCGTGCTCACGACTGAAAATCCCTGCAGCACATAGAGGTCACAGCTGTAGCAGCTGAGGGGAAAAGCAGCTTCCACAGAAGAGACTACTCTGAACTGGACTCTACACTCAGAGAAGGTTTCATGGACAGTTTCAAATCTTGATAAATACATAGTTCCAACATAAAATCCAACCAGGCCCTTCCATCAGCCAGCTCACACCGGCTGTGTGATGTTACTTACTGGTAAGTCCTGTGAAGTTGTTCTGCATCCAGTGACTAAAGAAGTACAATTATCCAATACCACCCAGCAACATCACACAAATGATCCTTTATCCATGGAAGTGGCTCCAACACATAATTATAATGAACTCTGTACTCTCAAATGTTCCTCTATACCAACACCCATCTCTTACTAAGTTAAAAAGTAAATAGGAGCACTTACTTCTGCCCAGCTGCTTCACATAAATGTTCATTTCCGCATAAAAGCTCCTGCAACAGAAAGAAAGAATAAACGTACAATTATCAATAGCTGACACTGCAAAAATATTTACTCTTTCCAATATTTCTAGGCAAAGATCTCTTTCCTCAATCAGAAACTCTCAATTCATCAATGACCAAGGTAAAATATTGGGCTGCTTTTAGTCCCTTTAACCCCAAGTTAGTAGGTAGCAGACCTGCCATCACCAAAGCCAGTAGATTTGATAAGAGGAGTCCTGAATAGGCCACTGTTTAGCATTGAAATTTAAAGTCATGTTATAAGGAAATATGCTCTGAGCTGTCCAAGCTTAAAGCAACATTTATAATGCAGGTGGGACGTTAATGAACATTAACATGCATCCCAATGTACCATTAACTGTATCCCACATCAGTATTGGTTTAACACTAATATAACCCAATAATAGCCAGTGTTTAATGACCAGATGCAACATTTAATACAGCATTTACTCTGCTTTTTGGGACACATATGATCAGCTCAGAGCACAAATGAAACGAAACTAGGCCCATCAGTCAAAAAAAAAAATTGAACTTATCTGCACAGGAGACAGAACACTTGAATTTGCATGGATTTCCATTTCCTTATTGCCATGCTCTGGAAACATCAGAACTTGAGTAACAGAGGTACAGAGTAACTGAGTTACTCAAGGGTAATTCTGGTAGCAAATCCAACAGTGTGCTTAGAAGACATGTAACCAGTTCATTTAAAAGGGAAGTGGCATATTAAACACAGAATCAAAGGACCATGGAATGGTTTGGGCTGGAAGGGATCTTAAAGACCATCCCATTCCAAACTCCTGCCATGGGCAGGAACACYTTCTACTATCCCAGAGTGCTTCAAGACCYGTCCAACCCGGCCTTGGACACTTCCAGGCATGGGGCAGCCACAGCTGCTCTGGGCAATCTGTGCCAGGGCCTCACCATCCTCACAGGGGAGAATTCAGGCTTTAAAAAAAAAATCCTCARCAGAGGAGGATGGAAATCACCATCCTTGTTTTTATTAATCCCAAACCTAAGCCTGTATTTGCCACATGAAATATTAAAACCAAATTCTTGTAACACAGAATTTAAACTGGTGAATGTGACTCAAAGTGTATGACTGAAGTTTATTGGACTGAGATCCTCTTTGGAAACTAGGCTTTAGCATTTTGCACAGCTGCAGGCTGTGCCTTGCACCTGTGTTCTTCATTTTTGGCTGCAAACAAACAATAAAAAAGGTTAAATGAGTGATTGAAATTTCAGGTTAGACGACCTTCCTGTGCTAATAGCAAACTGACCTTCAGGCACAGTGGCTTCAGGGGTCAAAGGCCACTGGCTCTCAGGGACACAACAGCCACCTAAGACACCGATGACAGTATGTTTCTCAGCCAGGCCTATAGTCAGCATTCAATCTCATTCTCCTCCACCTGAGGGGAGAACAGCAACACCAGAAATCAGTTTGCAGCAGAATCTCTTGTGATTCCCTAGTCCAGCCTCAGCAGCCCATTTTTGAGCAGGCACAGGTCTGTGGTGTCGCTCTTCAGCAGGAACAGAAGGAGACACAGGCATCCTAACACAGAAAAGCCACATTCCATCCCTTAATATGAGTTCATGCTTTGTATGCTAGGAGCGCCATCTTTATATTTACATCTCATATACCCTCCTGTCATAATTAAAGTTTCCAAATTAAAATTTTCCAGCTATTAAGTTCTTAGATCATTAATATGATTAATTGACAACAAATCTCTGAGAGCACAGCTGACACATCTGTTATAATCTCTCTCTCTGATCGTTACCTAAAAAAAAAACCCAAAACAGACTGGCAAGACGCATGACAATTGGTATTTCTTTTAAAAAAACCCAACAACCTAAACTATATTATGTCCTCAAGACTCCAAGAACATCCCTCTCCTGTTACACATACCAAAAGGATTAAATCAGCAGTTCCCCAACAGTCTGAATCAGCCCTAGAACACATTAGGATTGTTTCATGCCTATTTGATAGTGAATAGCCCCTTCTGCCATTTCATCCAGGGCAATCCACACAAGCTTCCCTGAACTAAGAGTAAATAGTAAACTCTAAAATGCCCTCCAGAAGAACAACAACCAGGCTGAGAAACATACTGTCATCTGTATAATTTCATTCTGCTCAAAACTAGATAAATTTAAACACATTTGGCTTAATGCTTTCATCTGCAGAAGGTGTAACAAAARATGAACTGCACAAATACTCCCTAAGCTACAGGATAAAAGAAATGTTCAGAAGCTATGCCTGCAACAAGCATAATTTAAACTCCTAATACTGTACAAACTAACTTTTTATGCCATGCACTTGGGTGAAGGAAATGGCCTTGCCTGAGAGATATAAATGGAGATGAAATTACTTGAAGAGAGGTTTTAAATGAGAATGTACAACTTTCTGCACCAATACACATCTCTCAGATGTTCAAATTATTGGCAGACTCAATAACAAAAGAATACCATAAGTCCTGCAAGTGAGACTCTCATGAAAGACTATAATAAGAAAATTCTCTTGTCTTTCTAAAAATATTAACTCTCATAGAACACAAGTTTATATAATGAAAAAAGCCCAACCCCAAACCCAGGCAGGAGAATCTAGCAGCAGCATGCCATTGTTTCCAGCCACARAACAGCATTATATTTCATCAGAAATAATATACTGTCCTAAAGTCTGAATGATTGGTAAAGACTGTTCCTAATAGAGCTAAAATATTAAAACTATCAGTTCTTTATGCACAGTCTGTTATGAGCTATTTTCATTTGGGAGACGCACATGCAAATTCTCTGATGGAATGGCTAAAAGTTATATAAGAGTAATATCCAACTGGTCTTAACTGAAACTTAAGAATCTCAGAATTCCTTTGTGAAGATTCTGCCAAACTGTTTTCTTTAAAAGAAGATTCCATTACCAGAAAATGATAATAAAAATAGAAATAAAATGTCCTTAAAGCACATTGCTACATCAGCAAGTTTAAATATTTGAGATTTATTTAAAATGCACAAAGGCAACAACAGTCACAGAACAATTACCACAAGCAACTGAGCTCTCTTTTTGTTCACWCTGACACCCTAGCAGATGGCTTCAGCACAGAAATCAGTTCAAAAGCTACATATCCTGAATTTCTCAGAAATGTCTTCAATCCCTCAGATCTCACCACTGAGGCTCCTCAGCCCCATATCAATATTTAGGGAAGTTTCTGGTCCTGGCAAAGAACACTATGGTTCTATGTAGCACTGCAAGTAAGTGTGAATGGCCACTGTCCCCAAATGTATTTTGAACCCTACATACACAGGTGGTGACTAAAACTACCAAACCTGTTGTGATCAGGGCCCATTTCAGTGTATTTATATTCTTCCTGGATCTTCTCCTTTTGGAAATACTGGTTCAGACGTGCCTTGGCATTTTCCAAGGTCCAACCCCCATGAAGATCTGCATTTAAGTCCACTTCTGACTCTGAGGTCTAATATAGAAAAAAAGATTATTTACTAGTTTAAACATTCTTACAAGTCTTCAAAGTAACTCACCTAGATGCTATAAAATACTAAAAAGTCTTCAGTAATTCCTTATTTTCAGAATAAAATGCCTATACAAACTCCTGGATGTTCAGAGTATCCAGAGTGATTTATCTGTTCCTAGCTTAAACAAATTACCTTTATTTAAAGTCAACAAGTAAATCTGCAGCTTAAATTAGTAGCAAAATATTAAAAGAAAATTGCAAGCTTGATTATAGATACAAATAACAAATTAAAGGCGATGAAAGATGCCCATTTAAGAAACAAAGGAGAATTCCACTGCATGACTTACCTCCTGCACTTCTTGCTCCTCTTTCCTCGAATAATAGTCMTGCAAGTTTGCACCCCGATCCCACTGAGCTCCATGACTGCCACAATTGCCGGGTGCCGCACTTGGTCCATTGCCTACCACACAGAAAAAAATGAACAAAAATAAAATAACTCCCCAGAATATGTTCTTAGCAATGGAGAGGCAGTGAGGGACTATCTCGACAGGCCATGACCAGTCTCTCAGATCTCATGCAGTCATCCACACCTCTGCCTCAAAATTGTGACTCTGGTGTCCTGTCTGCAGAGTGATGCAATTTGGGAGTGAAACCATCACCCAAATACATTCAAATACTCAGAAATTACAGTTTTCAGTCTTACCTATTTCACTTTTTAAAAATGAATGTGGAGGAAGGGGTTCCCCGAGCGCTGAACTGGAACCAGTGACATCTCTAGCTGCTTCTGGTCCTCCAGKGGGGGTATCACATGCTGCTGGCTAGGGAAGGGAATGAAGGACAACCTCAGCACATCAGTACAGAACAAGTCATTTTWTTACTTAGCTAGAAACTGTTCAGGCAGTTTAAAGAGCTCAGGCAACATTATCCCCAGTAACTATGCAATAGTAGCAACCTCAATAGTAACACAACTATGAATATTTAAAGACTGAACTGCCATGAAACTAATTGGCACAGCAAAACCAGAATAGCAGTCCTGTTCCCACTGGGTTCCACCTAGGCTGATGAGGCAGGGAGGCTGCTTCCACTGAGAAAACTGATAGATCCTTAATGGAGCACTGGAAAAAGACTCTTCCCCTCTCAACAGGTAACACATAACTTCATGCTTTATTTATTTTCTTCTGTACACTTGTAGTGACACAGTTATCCTCCTCCTCCTCAGCCTTTAAGTGATARTCACTGCTGAGAGTTCACAAAACATCATAAAAAGCAGTGATTGTGTTACACACCAAAAGCATCTATGGTTAAAAATAGTCACATTTTCAGTGTCTGGTTTGATATATCTGATTATTATTTTGTTTGGTTTTGRGCTTTTTTAAAGCACACAGGATTACATATATATATATATTATAAYGTACTTCTAAAGATTCCCAGTGTCAGGTGTGAGTACTTTAAAGCCAGGCTACACCTCATAGGGACTCTGAACTCTTTCCAGCCTCATCAAYTTTGCAGCCCAACATGCAGCTGTATTTACCAGATCTCCCCACAGCATTCAGCTGGACTTGATAATCTCAAACATCTTTTCCAACCTAAATGCGTCCTCGACTCCATGATACTCTGTATGTGTCCCAGCCTTCTGGCAGTGCAAGAAGTCCCTCACATCCATCACTGCACAGGGGCACCAGACTGAATTCCAGGGATGAAACACAGCCGGGAGCATGGCCCCACAGCGATAGATTAGTCTTTGGTAAGGAGAAAGAGCAGCTTACTCCAAAAGCAGGAATTTCATTCTTCTTCACTTCATTCACCCGCACTAAGTAGTTGATGAAGTCTCGGGCAGCGTTGCTCTGCGCATCCTTCTTGTTGGTGGAGTTGCCCATGCCGACGTAGTTGAAGCCTTCCACTCGGACCTGCAAGGTACAACACACAGCACTGGCACTTGCAGCTGAAAGGGGCCTAGAGACAGCAACACCAACTGGAACACTAAATCCTGGCCGCTGATAAGTACAGCAGAAATAATAATACTAAGTATTGTTACATATGATGATATATAGCTACGTATTTCTGTAGGTTTTGAAAAGCAAACCCCCCCATTCTGAGAACTTCTCCTCTCAGAGCACAAGTGCTTCTCAAAACCTCATGGAAGAAGAAAAATCAGTGTAGGAAGGAACCCTGKCAACACAGAGCAGCAAACTCTGCCCAGGCTCACTTTCCTCAACCTAAATCCAAACCCTTGSACAACAAGAAGTGATCTTGTGTCCACTCAGCTGTAGCTCCATGTTCTTGCAGCTACATAGATGTGATCTATTTCTGATTTTTTTTTTTAACTTTATACACTGGACAACGGTACCTCCAACCTTACAGTAATCATACCGGATTCACAGCCATCGTACCAGGCTGTGAAAATCAGAAAGAGAGATGTTCAGAGAGATATTTCAGTCAGATTAATCCTTTCACCTGTTAAATTTCCATGCATGCTCACGGGGCATCAACATACCAAAACCAGAACAACAATATTTATATATTGTATAATATACAATATACATGTATAGTGTGACTCTTCACAAAAGCGTAGAATGACAGAAGAAGGGGCAATGGCTTCACACTGAAGAGGGCAGGGTTAAACAGGATATTAGAAAGAAATTGTTCCCTGTGAGTTTGGTGAGGCCCTGGCACAGAGTGCCCAGAGAAACTGTGGCTGCCCCATCCCTGGAATAGTCCAAGGCTTGGAGCAACCTGGGATAGTGCAAGGTATCCCTTGCACTGGATGGGGGTGGAACTGGATGARCTTTARGRRCCCTTCCAACCCAAACCATTCCATGATTCTGTGAATATATCTATTCATACAACCATTCCATCWGAGTAATGCTCAACCTGCTATAATACCTTGAATATTGCTTTAATGTCACTGTGCTTCTTAGTTTTCTTACTGACATGGAAGACAAACAAGAGGGGAAGGGTAAAACGACAAATTTAAGGTGTTTAGTGCAAATCCATGGCATCACTCATGAACTGATCTGTTCTGCACATGGCCTCACACTTAGTGCCAGCTACCTGTCAGGGCCAATCTGAATTCACAGCTCCCACATTCCCAACATCCAGAGGCAGGAGTAAAGTACTATTAGAGYAGTGAAGAGTAGCAACCATTCCAACAAGAATTCTTTAATGCATTTCTTCTCAAATTCAAGAGCAGGCCAAAGCTCTTGGTGAAGCTGACACACAGTACCCCTCGGCAACTATCTTAACTGCAAGAAGGGTCATACACCATCCTTAAATAAACAGACACACACCACCATTAAATAAACSAATCCCTTTTCCCTGTAAGAGCGTCGTTCCGACTGCTTCTCTCCTTTCACTTATTTCACACCGCATACACGCAGTCAGGACCCCCTGGCTCAAAGCGGCTCAGCCCTCCCCAAGCCCTCGGCCTCCAGTGACTCCCACCCAGGCCAGGCAGGGCCCAGACCCCGGACAGAACCACAGACCCCCAGCGACCTGCTCCCAGAGCCCCGGSACTGATCTCACGCTCTCTGCGGCAAAGCCCCGTGTCCGGCCCGGCACGGTCCTCGGCAGCACCCCAAGACCCCGGGCACAGCCGAGAACCCATCACGGACCTCAGACCCCCGGCAGCGCCCCCCATTGCCTCGACAGGGTCCTCAGATCCCCAGCAGAGGTCCAGGTCCATCTCGGCAGCGTCCCCAGACTCCCGGCATAATCCAAGTTCCTCTGGCTGTGCCCGGACCCCCGTCACGGTCTCCAACTCCCCGGCACAGCCTCGGCAGGGTCCCAGACCTCCTCATGGCGCTCAAACCGCCGACAGAGCCACTACAACACGTCCAGAGCCCCGGAAGGGTTCGTTCAGGGTTCCGGAGGGCCCCAGCGCCCCTGGAGATCCCCAAACCGGCGGCACAGCCCTAAGCCCCCCTCACGACGCCCAGGACCCCTCACGGCGCCCAGCCCGGCGGAGCAGGCCCGCACCTCGCAGAGGAAGGTCTGCCGGCCGCGGCCGCCAGCGGCGCGGATCTCGTAGGCCGGCATCASCCTCCTCCTGCCGCACCAAGCGTACAGGTAGTTCTTCACGTCCCCCATGGCCGGGGCTGGGGCACCGGGGCAGCGCCGCCCGSCCCGCAGCAGCAACGAGCGGCAGCGCCTGCGCGGGGCCCGACGGCGGCCGGGAGGGAGCGGGGAGCGCCCGGCGCGTTTCTCCGTCCTCCCTGCACCGCCCCGCCAACGCTGCCTTCTTTGAACCATCATCTCGTTGGCTTCCTGCTGAATAGTGTGCTTCTCAAGCAGTCAAAGTGTTTTAAATTTAAACAAYCTTTTCCAGTGTTTTGGATCTTTCAGAGAGCCTTCTTTGGGGATGAATGATTAATAYACTGGACTGAATGAATGAAATAAAACAGCTGATAGGCATAATTGATTTCACGGAGTTATTTAGGAAATGATCTTTTATTGATACTTGGTATCACGATGTTGGTGTGACTGATCCAATACTGAAATTACGATATGAAAAAGAAGAGGGGTCAAAAAGCCTCCAAACAATGTCTTGTGCTTCCAGCTCACTCCGGAGCAAATAAGCATGCATCTGAAAAGTGATTTCGTGTACCGTCTGGAGCAGGATCGGGAATTACAGMGGGTGAGTGYGCTCACTGACACCTGTTGTCCTTGTACAAGACTCTTGGTTTTCCAGAAGGGGCTGAACATAGCACAAAGCATGCAAAGCTGGGTTTCAGCACATGTACACACATGTTTTTGGAAGTGCTGGGTGTTCCACTGGGGTGGATGTGGGGATGAGYTGTGCTGTGCCAGGAAAAAATACAAACTATGACCTGTTCTTGGTCAGCTTTTCCTTTATKTAAGGGAAAAGGGTAGAAAAGGGAGGTAAAGTATAGATGTGGAGCAGAACAGGCTGATTGCTGGAGATTTTTGAAATGTCCAGGATTTTTTTTTTCCCAGATCCACGAAGAGAGAGTGGCCCTACCACTGAAGAATTTTGAAAGTGAAATTCTGGACACAGTCCATCACAATTCTGTTGTTGTCATCCGTGGTGCCACTGTGGCAAAACCACCCAAGTGCCCCAGTACATCCTGAATGAATCTCCCTTTCTTCCTTCGAGCCCTGCTGTGATCATTCGTTTTGTGAGAAGCAGCCAGGGCATAGGACCCCTCGTGTGTGAGCCATGGGGATCATCAGCCAGCAAGAGGTTCTGCCTGGGATGCAAAAAAATGCACCTTTTAATCTGACAGCAGGTGACTTGCTCTGTCAAGATCCCACCTGCAGAGCTGCCTCCAGCTCTGTGGCCCCCAACATCAGGACATRGAGCTGCTGGAGTGAGTCCAGAGAAGGCCTTGAAGATGCTCCAAGGGCTGGAGCCCCTTTGCTCTGGAGACAAGGCTGGGATAGCTGGGGGTGTTCTGCTTGGAGAAGAGAAGGCTCAGAGAATGCCTTAGAGCACCTTCCAGTGCCTCAAGGGGCTCCAGGAGAGCTGGAGAGGGACTGGGGATAAGGGATGGAGGGACAGGACAAGGGGGCATGGCTTCTCACTAACAGAGGGCAGGGATTGATGGGATATTGSGGAGGAATTGTTCCCTGTGAGGATGGGGAGGYCCTGGCACAGGGTGCYCAGAGAAGCTGTGGCTGTTCCTGGATCCCTGGCAGTGTCCAAGGCCAGGCTGGACATTGGGGCTTGGAGCATCMTTCCAGTGTCCCTGCCTACAACAGGGGTTGAAACAAGATCATTTTAAGGCCACTTCCATCCCAAACCATTCCACGTTTCTATGATTCTATGCCTTCTTAATCTGCTTGACAGCATTCTGCACTGCCACATGGAGGTGCACAGCTCAGTCATGGCTTTGTTTCTGACCTAACGAAAAAAATTAGAAATACCTGCTTATTAGTGATCCAAAGCTTGCTGTTACAAAAGGGATTTATTTTTTTAATTTTGGATTAAGGTGTRTAAACACAGAGGTCCGACAGAACCAGGATTTTACATGCACAGTGTYCCAGTGACTGTGACAAACARAYACCAGCCTGAGCAACCCAATGGTGTCACACTACTGTTTAAACACACGGTGTAGAGTCCTCATGAAGAGGAAAAAACACCATACAGCTGACAGGGRCTGGAGACAGATCTTCCTCCATTCTAGGCACAAGTCATCAGCCTCCTCCTCCAACTGGGAACAAACTGCAATTAGGAGATCCCAGTCCATCCTGGAATGTGCAGAGCTACAGGGGAGCAGTGTAAAATGCAGGGCCATGTGTGCYCCAGCAAAGCCAGGCCTAACAGGAAGAGGCTTGGGCATGCTGACAATTCCCTGAAAGAAATCATAGYCCATCATGTGGGGAATGTGCCATGTGACAGAGAATCCCAGAAAAGGAACCTCCAGATCAACATGGAACAGTATCACAAGTGTGGCACTTGGGCATGTGGCTTAGTGGGGGACCGGGGAGGATCAGGTTAATGGTTGGATCTGATGATCTTAGAGGTCTTTCTCAACCTTAATGATTCCATGACTCCATGCTCAGTCACCATCAGGCCACACGATGCTGTCCAGCTTGGCTTTGGCCTTGAYGATGAATTCACTGGAGGCACCAACAAGCGGAAGCCGTGGAGGTCCCATGGGAATACCAGAAACAAAAGTCATCACAGCTTTAGTCTGTGCAACACCAAAACCTGGGTGGACAAGAGCAATATCAGAGCAGTATTTTCAGTATAATGCAGCATCAATCAGGTTTCAAGCACTTCTTGGAAGCAAGAAGAGTGTAATTGAAAAAAGGCAACTGTGCTTTACAGTTTCTGTAGACAGGAAYGACACCGCTGTAAAAATTACATCTACTTACTACATTTATTCATATATAGGCATCCCCTGATGCAGACTCACACAGAGCCAAGACCTGGGAGCARCAACATCCTGTTCTCTGTCCATAGCTCATGATTCCTTACGTACCTCCGGAAATTTAGTGTTTGCCTCTGTATCTATGAGGCTAAAAAATAATGCAATTCCTCTGACTTTGAACCCAAGAAATACAACCAGGTTCTAAAGCTCAGTAAGATTCATCAGGGCTTGCATATGTACAGCAAATCCAAAGTGAACCRTTTTCTTCATTAAATGTCTGATTTAATTTAATTTAAACATTTCCTCTCTCTGTTTCCCTACACCACTCTGACGTCATTGGTTTTAATTTATTAAATTTAATTTTTATACTTGATTTTGTTTCTAGAAATCATTCCATGTTAAAATCTTTTGGCCTTGGACAGAATTTAACAAAGTTCCTCTTAAATTACAGCAAGGCAGGAGAGAGAAGTATCAAGAGCTGTTCTTCTACTTGGGCACCACCATTTCAGAAAAATTACTATAGAAATAAAGCTAGAAATGAGCTTTTGGAGATGGAAAAAAAACAAAAAAACAACCCACAGAAAGAGTCAGGATAAGAACAAGGGTAAATCACAGAGTCACAGCTTTAAATCTGTGAGATTTCACAGCAGCAGGAAGGAAGGGAGAGTGGAATCTGTCAGGGATGCTTGGTCAGCTCCCTTTGTTGAGCTCCCACCCACTACTAAGTTGGGAAACAGCAGATGCAACGTTTTTCACTGCAAAATCTTTCAGGAAGTTCTAAGACTACAGCAACACGGGACCTTGAGGAGCACAAAGTCTGCATTTTCAGACCTAATGAGGGAAGTAGTAGTGTTTACCCATTTTACTTACCCAGCTTGATGACAAAGTTGAGAAATTCCCCAGTGAGAAACTAGAAAAGACCAACAGTAGTTTATTAGCACCCTCAAATTTGAAGGTKTGAAATCATCCAAAACTACTATATTTGTATCTTATATAACTTTCGCGCAGCTTTGAGAAAAGCCCTTCGTCACCTGGCCAGTCTCTGAGAAATACTAATAGAATTCCACTGGAAAAGGAGAGGGATACAACAAATAAAAACACTGGGTACAGGTTGTATACTGATGGCTCTAAGCTACCCACAAATCTTCAAACTGCCCAAGACCCAGAGGGGTGAAGGCAGAGCCAATTTGGGACAGCTTTCTGCCCTACATCATGTAGGCTATCCCCAGAATATTCCTAGTCAAGAGGCTTGGCCACCRTGGGTTTGTTCAAGGAAAAAGCCCAGACCATTGCTCACTTGCACAGATGAGATTAGAGAGTTGAACTGAGGTAGGTCTTGGTTGAATGGTAATAAGGAGTAGTCAAAAAAGTGAGGAGGGACGAATAACAAGAAGGAAGGTTGGAGATGAAAGAATTTTTCTTTAATAAACTGCCTCAGTATGGATGACAAAACCACACGGAGAACAGGCACAGTATAGCTCAAAGAGAAAAAMTGTTACACCCAGCGGGGCGTGGGAAGATGCTGTACCTGATACTTCTGTGCCAAGGCAAGGTCTGCCTTTGCAAAGGCTTGCAACATGAGATTGGTTTGTCGGCCCAAATAGTTGTATGTACTGTCAAAAAACCAAACSAAAAATAGAACTGGTAAATGCGAAGAAGGAACTCAAAACCAGTGAAACCAAAGTAATAACCACAGGATTTTGATGTTGACATTGTCACTATTATGAGAGAAATTTGTGCAATCTCCGTGTGGTGCAATTTATTGTCAAGCATCTGAAGTATGCCAAGCTCCATGGAAGAATTAGAGAGCAGATTTCTCCTCCCAGTTCTTTCCAAATGGAACTGCTTTTTAAAATTAAAAATAAAAAGACATCATCGGGCAATAAGGCAAGTCAATCACTTAATTTCCCAGTTGCTTGCTTATTAAATGGATTGTCTAGATGTGAATGCAGATATCACACAGTAATTCATCTAATCAGTGTGGTATGAGAGACAGAGGCTAAATCTGAAATTCAACTCAGCACAGGCCTTCTCCTCATAGACTGCCCATGTGAACTAATGAATTTAACCTCTCTGGGTTTTAGTTCCTTACCCAAGGAAGATAGTGATTTCCTACTTCAAAAACTGTCACAGGGATAAAAAGTGTCACCTTAGAAACTGCAGCAATAATCACCCAAAAGAGCATAATCTGAGACCCCAGATTATATGACTGTCCCATCATTAGGACTGAGGCTAGATTATGTCTCTTTTTGCCTCTATGCACCCCTATTCTGCAAAATCCTCCATTGCTGTGGTGGAAGACAGTCAGGGAAATACTATGCAAATAGTGGTAGATAAAACAGCACAAGGTATGTGTTAAGGGAAAAAGTTCAAGCCATACTGACCTTCCAACTGCTCCATTTGCCCCTAGTGCCAGTGCACCCAACAGTTGCTAGTTTGGAGTGGGGGGAGAAAAATAAGGTTAACAAATCTACTCCATGTAATATAATCAAGGTAAAAAAGGGSTGGTGGGAGGGAGGGGCAAAACCGCCTTGCACTGAGTGTCCAGGGTTACTTCTTCCCCAAGGCTGAAGCAARAGAGTGCCTTAGAAGAAATTATTTTTAAGAGAATCCTCTTACCTCATCCACCCCATAAAGAAATTCAAACTGCCCCATTTCATTCTTGTTTATGCAYTGTGCCAGGTCCAAGAGGTCCATGTCACTGAACTTCACACCCTGGAAGGTGGGGATCTGTGCTTTTATCCCATCCAGCAACTCTTCCACACGAACTGTGCAGAACAGCAATCTCATATGAGGGAACACAGCCCTGTTCTGGGAGGGTTTCCAGCCTTGCCTCCAAGAGAAAGACTTCATATTTTACAAGTTGTTCACTTTCAGCCTAAGCCTAGTAAACCACACAACTCAAAAACAATGAGTAAGACAAGAGTTAGACTCTTTTACCAGATCAGAAAAAGTTTAGGAATGAACCAGCAACAACACACTTAAGACTAAATATAAATTAATGTGTTCAGAAACATGAATTTATAACATAACCTGCTGTCCAGAGCAAATAACTGAAGATCTGTACTCTGTACTTACTCTTCACACCCGTCAGAGAAGGAATGTGGTAGTAATAAAATGGAACCTCAGGGGCTTCAGATGCAACCTTCTGTAAGAAAGCAACCAGCTCATCTGGAAGAAAACCATCAGGTATCCCATAAGTGAAGGAGACTGTCCGTAGGGGGAGACACAACAGATTCACAGCATTGGAGCTGTGGAGAGGCCACAGCTTGTGCACYACACACAGCAAGTCATTCAAAACCCTTCACATCTCATAAAATACTGAGTGTGACATAAATCAGGGAAAGACCTAAAGAAAGGCAAAGACAGTACTGCTTTTAAAACAAACCAGTTTCAGTAGCTCACATTCATTGTCTTACATGTRTAACTCAGATACGCTCTCCCATGTGTCAGACCTGTGTGCCAAGTGGTCTCAGCAGGATCACTTGTGTGCCACAGAGGACAAGAGATCAAGTTCATGTTTGMCTCCCTGGTGTATTGCTGGGTGACGATGATGAACAGGGTTTGGGACAACTTTTTCTGCACCATTTTAGGAATGAAGGAGTTGTTATGRTTGACATTCTTCCTGAGAATCTTGTTCACTGCACCCTTCACAGATCTTAGGCAATTTTCTCATTGACACAACAAGAAGAATGACAAAAAACAAACAGTGSTGAACAAGCACTGCCATCCTACTCTCAGCGAGATTTCTGCTGACTTTTGTGCTGTTTGCTTTTGTGCAGGCTGATTGTCACTGACTCTGTCCTGGCTGTCGCTATCAGCCATTCTGGCAACTCACTCTGGCTTTTTCTGGTCCTTTCATATGAACATTTCCATTCAGAATTCATTTAGACAACTTCTAATATTTCTTTTTAAAAACCTTCACTTCATGTGGCTCTTTTATGTTATCATCAGGGTCTTAGGGACAAAATACTTGGTTTTAAGTTTTCTTTAGAAAATCTTCTTGCAGGTTTTGCTTTTCCATGACAGTTTTGCAAATGTTATCACCAGAATATTTTCCAAAGAAAGTAGATGGCTTTAATCCTTTATCTATGATTAAGGCTGGGAGGGCAGTAAAAAGATCTAAGCAATCACATCTACTCACCTTTGTTTGTGGGTTTGAAGAAGAAGGGGGCTATGACAGCAATGCCACCAGCACCTATGGCTGCTGCATGTCTTGCCTACAAAAGACAGTGGAAAGTATCTGAGGGTACAGCTGCTTCTATGTATCACTCACGGACTGAAAAACACCACATACACACCAGCTCCTGGCACTCCGGCAGACTCAATGCTCCCACATGAATGATCACGTGATCCAATCTGCACAAAAAAAACAAATGCAGAAAGTTTTGGGGAGGTTTCAGTGATGGCGAAAAACTACCAGGCTGCCAAAATGGCTCACTTCAGCCCAGGTAGCCACAGAACAGGAAAGTGAAAARTGAGTTGAGCCTGTGTTGACCTGATGAGCAGGAGGAACATGGGGAAAATGCTGACAGTGACAAGCAGCTGGTGGTGGAAGAAAGAAAACACATTTGTAAACGTGAATCATGTGTGACTTCTTGCTGTCATACTTGCAAGGGTGTCAGAAGGGATGCATCTTAGCATTTAATTAAGAAATTGAAATGAAGATGTGAGGGATTTAAGGAAAGGCTGGAAGAGTAAAGGAAATCAAAGTATATCTTTCCCTTCTAAACYTATTTCTATGCAGACCTACCAGAAGAGTTCAGCCTCACAGCAGCACCTTTGAATGCTTGTCTGCTCCTGCCAAGGRAATCCTCCATGTCCCAGGCCATCAACCCCATTGCTATCTTTCTCCTTTATATCCATAGGAGATATGGATATAAAGGCTATGGATCTGAAAGCTGTGATCCTTCACACTAGTTTATTTCTGCTCATTATCCTTCTCCCCCCAAATACCTGCTCCTCTGCACATCCTCTGACCAAGCAACCAAGAGAAAGGCAGTAGTGAGGGGTACAAGGCTATGACAGGTATAAGAAATGGAGAATAGAGCTGCAATTGGATACACAMGTGCAGATCCAGATTGAATTCTTTTTTCTGTCACTAATTTTGCACCTTTAGGGAAGCAGTTAAGCTTTTGGCTCCTGAGCTTCAGTCACACCAAATAATGAAATACACTATAAGATTCAGAAATCCTCTTTATTTTCATTTCTTCTTGAGACTAAGCAAATGGCACAGCCATTCTTTTCCAAGCCCTTCCTCATCACCCCATCCTCTGTGTATCAAAGAGAAGGACTCTCACAAGCTCTCTAAGCAGCAGAAACAGACACCAGCTAACTGGCAGTGACAAAAACATATTTCTGTGAGAAAAGAGCTGCAGAACAAAGCCCAGCAACAAAACACTAAAAAGAAAAAGCATCAGCAAACTTGGTTTTGCAAACAGACATTATTGTAACACAAGATATAGAATCCCCCTCTCAGTTACTCACTTGTCTTTTCCTTGGCACATCCATTCTTCTGCCAGCTGCTTCCTCTCCTGGATGCTAAGGGACAGGCCTTCTCCTGTTGTGCCATTCACTGTTTCAACACAACACAACACAACACAACACAACACAACACAACACAACACAACACAACACAACACACTGAGGCTGAGGTCTCACCTACACACAACCGTTCCAGTGAAGACAAGAACTGACATTTTTGAGTTGGGAAGAATCATTCAGATGAGTCTTCTCTGTCAACACAACATTATCCATTCATCTCTGGGAATTGTCACCTTATGCAGGCAACACTTACTTTATCCCCCATAGAAATGGGGTGTGGGCAAAACCAGATGCCTCAAGTGAATACAAATGGCCAGGATGATCCCATATSCACATTCCCTCCCACTACAGCTCCTGTCAGGTAAGACAACACAGGATTCCCATCCAGGCAAAAGGGTTGTAACACAGTGTCTGTCAAAAAACACTTACCAAAAACATTCTTAACGTTCTGCTCATTTACCAGATAATCCACATACTGACGAATCATCGGGAGGTTAATTTGTCTGCAAGAAAAGAAACCACAGCAACCATTAAGTCCTCACCYAAAGTTATTTTAAACTTAGTGATTAAGAAACCAAAAAACCCCATGTATTTTGAAGTCTTGCATTTGTACACACACAGATTACCCAGAAGTAAGAAACCCTCGACATCTACTTAATGCCTGAAGTAGCAGCTCAGCTCTGAATTCTCTCTTCCAGTTTCTCTTCCTCATGACAAGTAATTCACTGTTCCAAACTTTTATTGGGAATTCCTGCAGGCTCATCTGAGCAAAGAACTCCTTTTTGAGATACAAGAGAAGAGAAGGCACAATAACCTTTTAATCTTTTGAGAGAAACAGGAGTCCTCTTGAGAGCACAAAGATATTTGTGCAAGTTCTGGCAAATGGTTAAACTATGCTTATAACTGCTGGATATGGAGAGTGAAACGGCATCCGCTGGATGTGACTTTGACCTCTCATTAAAGGATGAGGAAAGCAACTGAATTCCCTGTCAAACAGGGGAAACAGAATTTTAGGGTTATCTTCTCTGCAAGACAAACTTATTTTGTTTACTAGTGTATAATATTTCACTGTTGTTTTCATTTGTCAAAAATACAGACCAACCCAATAGTCTGGAAGTCAATACTAGTGCCTTGACTGGTTTTACACATCACTCAAAATTCCACAGCTGCCTTCCCAGAACATATTTTACAAGGACCATGCAGTACAGGCAGAGGGCTCAGRTCACCCTCTAAATACCATGTTGCAATAAATTTGAATCATATTAAAAAATAAAATCAGAATTAAGTTTCTTTTAAAGCAAGAATCAAAGCAGTGGCTGSAATGGAATGAATTCCCTGACTGGGATGGAGAGATGTTTTTCATCTTCACTTAAAGTTCTCCTTTGGAGATCTGTACTATCAAATCTCCACTGCCTCTCACATACAGACCCTCACCCATCCCCACCAGAGCTCACGGCTCTCTGCTGATTCCAAACAACTCAGTCTTGCAACATCAAAACGCAGTGAGGAGGCTTCTGTTTGCCACCCCTGCTCTGAAGAAAGCTGACTTTCAAGTTTCAATTCGATGTTATTTTCCAAACTGTGCTGTCCTTGCAGTATTTTCTTCAAGTTTCGACCGATTCCGTGCATACACACACGTGACWGCATGCATGACTTAGCTAGAGTAGAGAGAAGGCTAAAAGGCCTTCASATTCTGACAATTATTTTCTAGCTCTCAAGCTCTTTTTAACTAGGACTGCGATTTTCCTTAACAAATGTGAAAACACTGCAATGCTCTACACGTGTAACTGTACTATGATTTAATCTGCACCTAGAAAGCAACAGAAAAGGAGATATAAGACCGATCCCCACTCTCCAAACCCAGACCTGGAACACTTGCTGGGCAACGGAAGCAGAGACAAGGGAATCTCACTCTGGTCCTAGTGGGACCAATTTAATTGTTCCCCCAATCCCATCAGAGATCTGATT